TGATACGCTTGAAAGCTTCTCTGATTCTTCGGTAAACTATTTCAGAGCAGTTTATAATTTTGAGGCTTCACTGGGACCAGACTTTGTTGTTTTTCCATCCTCCCCGTTCCCTAGAGACTGATGATTTGGGAGTTTTGAGGGATTCATTGCCATTCAGATCAAGAGGAACCACTCTCCCAGCGAATTACCTTGATCTGTGTCCCAGGGGGGGGGGTAAAGACAGAGCTGTGAAATACACTCAGGGCACACCAAGAATAACTGGTTCTCGGAAATGTCAAAATCTGAGGGGAGCATCTTTGCCCCCCTGGTTGTATCTGTGATGCTGTGGAAACGTTTGTGTTGTGGTTAAAGAGGGGAAAATAAAACGTTCTGTGCAAAGGAGTCCAAACAAGTAAGCGTCTCTATCTTTGATGAACAGAATATATATATTCGGATGGTTACTGACCTACTGGTGACATCTCAGGGACACTGGCTGTATATGGACCCTCCAGGAATTTTGGCTCATTGTCGTTGATATCTTGAACCTTAATTACAAATTCTGACTCAGGCTCGAGGGGCCTATTGGTGTCGATGTCAACAGCCTGGGCGCGTAGGGTGTAGTAAGGCTTCTCCTCCCTGTCAAGGCTCCTTAAGGCATGGATATCCCCTGTTGTTTGGTCAATTGTGAAAATAGAGCCAGCCCCATCTCCCGAGAGAGTGTACTTCACACCACTGTCCCCACTATCGAGGTCAGTGTGCAGCTGCAAGACAAAAGAGGAATAAGACAGGTTGAGTGCAAACATTGGCACATATAATGATGCATTGCAAGCACTAGGGAAGAACTGTCAAAGAACACTATTTCACAAAGTGTGTCAAGGAAAATCAAAGAGCAAATCATGTCCCGCCAAAGAGCTGCAAAACACTAAGTCATGAGAAAAAATAAAATGATCGTACTTTCAGAGCGTTTCACAGATTAATGAGGCTAAATCTCTCATAAATGATGTATTCTCTCTGTGCAATTACACTGTGGTGATAACTCTTCTATCTATCCTGGACCCGTTTCTATTCATGCATGCTCTAAAATGTTGTCTTATTTGAGAAAGGAGCTCTCAAAGTGGCATAGATCAGACTGTAAACCTCAGGCAAATACTCCACAAGAACTATTTTTAATACTTCACCTGGCAGCGGAGGTCTGTGACCAGATGACTCTCGGCACAGTTGTAATAACAACACTCAACAGCCAAAGAACATCTTTGTTAATATAGATCCAGGACCAGCCACTCTCTTTGCTTTGTGCAAGACAAACACATTCTGGGATGATGGCAGAAAGCCTATTGACATAGTTATGTTTACCTCCCCCGGGGAGATCAGTCGTACAACTCAAATCCTTTTAAATATTTAAGGGCTCTAATGCAATGTAATCATCACCATATATGGATATGGATTTCTGCCTTCTTATCAATAACATGGGAATTTCTGTTGAACAGGAGTCTTATTCCAGTTGACAAGAACATATTTAAAGCACTGTAGCAGGGGAATATAAAGTAACCATGCTAAATAGAGAACACGCGAGTGGGATCCAGGTACATCTCAACACAATCACGCTTATTTGCTATCCTCGTTCCAAAATGTTGGAACCTGCTCCCTATTGAAATCTGGACAGCAAAAAAACTGAAAACCTGATTCTACTCAACCTTGGCCGAATAAAATATAAAAATAAAGAAATGCCCTCTTTACCACAGAATTAACTTATTACAAGTGACTGTACTTGTAGGATTCTTACTTTTTGAGTTTGCATCTTCTTGCGCAAAATGTAAGTTGCTTTGGATATTAAATAAATGTATTGTGACATGCTAGCTCCAGATTACATGGTTATTTTTTGTCTTTCAGAAAAGCTTTCATATCATGCATGGAAATTCTTCTAATTCTACACTTTAGGGAAACTGTGTGGGTGTCAGTTTGCTGACTTAATAATAATGACAAATTCAGAAACAATTTCTCTCCTGCAATCATATTCTAAGAAGCCTTTGTAGTACAACTAGGCCACTAATGGTTCACCATTCATGTGCAATGACAATGTTCAGTTCCAACGCGGAACACTTTACGGCTTGTAAAGGCAGTTTCTCTTTTTCCAGTTTACTTATCCCTGAACAACATCTTTTCTAGCCGCCGCCTAGCACTCACTAATGGCTAAGTGAATCACTGAATTACACTATTTTTGAATAATTCAGCCTTTATTGTTGTTTTCCCCACACATACAGATTAGTCTATCATTTTCACATGGACACATTTCCTGTGAAATTCAATGGTAATTGCAACCAGGGAGAGAATAAAGAAACTTGAGATGCTGCAAACAATTCTCCATAGGATAGGCTACAGTTAAAAATAACCCAAGACACGCAGACACTAGCAAAAACACATTGGGAGTAATTGGTGATTCAGTTCAAATTGCCCAGTTCACACAAGCATAGCACTGCATTATGATATTCTCACCCATGGTGCATTATTCATTGCAATTCAAATGTACGAAAATTATTGTTGGTGCATGCCCCTTGTTGGGTGACTACTAGCTCCCATAACATTTTATGCAATGAGCACACCATTTGAAATGTAGATTATGTATTGTCCACATAAACACTGTGAACAATAATAACCTGGCAATAATACTAAGTAGGCTACAAACTAAACTCTGTATTTACTCAGATAGATAGGAAAGTGGGCAGGTAAAGCAATATTATTATGTATCGGGGAAACTTGGTGAAGATTATATTTTTACAGCAGAAAGTCAATATATGCATTGCTTTCCACTTTGTTATCTCCATATAACATAACAATTATTACAGCTACTCATAATTAACATGTCCATGCTTGTTATCCTGAATGTTATAATTGTCCTCAGTGAATGCAACTGTACGTTTGCTATTAGCAGACAAAACAAAGAAACGAGGGAACGACCATGCATTTCACTTCCTAATTGGAGCTGCACATTGCAGCTGTGCAATTTGGGATTTCCTCATTTGCAGGAAGAGACTGCCGTTCAGCTTGCTGCGTTGCCCTTGCACTGTTTGAACACTGCGTTATTTTGGCTATAGCATATCAGTATTTTGTGATTTAAAAAAAGGAAAGAAACGCTACAGAAATAGACGTAGGCTATCCGGGTATTATGAGCTGTAGGGTTAGCTATCTACATTAGTTTAATTGACAGGAGGTAATTAAATTAAACTGCGCAGGAGCATGACAGCTAGCTAATAGGTGTGCTCACCCCACTGATGACAGATGTGAGAAGAAGTGGATGAAAGGTAATAAAAGCAACCATGATAAAAGTAACTTTAACTTTATTTCTTACTTAAATTACTTAATTTAAAGCTAAGAATTACACTTTTCAAAACAAGTTTAAAGCAACGTAGTTGAGAAGGGTCTCATCGCTTTTGGAGCAGAGCTAGCTTGAGCTGCTCACCTGGACAGGTGTAAACACATTTTACCTGTCATGTGCTCTGAACAAATATATTTTTTCGCCAACAGAACAAGACGGGGGAGGACCAGATTCAAATACCGTCGCAATGTCCGTGTATTCCTGGAGAAAACTGTGTTTTGGACATGGCTATCGCCTGGAGAGTTTGTGACTGCAAGGGTAGTAAATGGCTATTTTGTTTAATTCTGAGCTGTGTTGTTGAGGCTTCCTGGCCTGTTTCTGATGCACTGTGTAATGTCTGGTGAACAGCCGCCGTGCTGGTCATTATGCTGTTGGTTACGTACGTGTGTGTGTGTGTTTGTGTTTGAGTGCATGTGGGCTGGGCAATAATTGATTACGATGTATTGACTGTCAGTGGAAATGTGTGTTGATAATACGACCACAGCAGTATTGTATTAAAGGTCCCATATTATAATAATAATAATAAATTATATTTCTATAGCGCTTTTCTTGAACCCAAATACGCTTTACATTTGGGAGGGAGGGTAGACAAACAAAACAAAACCACAAAGAAAAAAAACAAAACAGAAAAAGCAGTCAGGAGGAAGTTGGTTGAGAGGGGGGCTTATGGATACAGAGTTGAAGAGGTGGGTTTTGAGGCGGGACTGGAACAGGGTGAGGGACTCAGACTCACGGAGGTCATGGGGGAGGGAGTTCTAGAGCGGGGCTGCCACAGAGAAGGCTCTATCCCCGAAGCTCTGGAGTTTGGCCTTGGGGATGGAAAGCAAACCGGCTGAGGTGGATCTGAGGGACCGGGGTGGTTGGTAGAGGATGAGGAGGTCAGTGAGGTAGGGGGGGGGAATCCAGATGGTGGAGGGCTTTGTAAGTGAGGACCAGGAGTTTGTAATGGATGCGGTGTGAAACGGGGAGCCACTGGAGTTCTTTGAGGACCGGGGTGTTGTGATGCCATGATTTGGTGTGGGTGAGGAGTCTGGCGGCTGCGTTCTGGACACGCTGGAGTCTATTGAGGGATGTAGTGCTGATGCCGTAGAGGAGTGAGTTGCAATAGTCAAGGCGGGAGGAGATGAAGGCGTGAATGAGTCTCTCAGCTGCAGGGCGGGTGTGGGGCTCGAGGGAGAGGGTGGGGTCAAATATGACGCCAAGGTTGCGTGCCTGGGTGGAGGGGGAAACAGGGGTGCCATCAATGGTGACTGTCAGGTTGGGGGTTTTGCTGAGGGTGGATTTGGAGCCGATGAGGAGTTCAGTTTTATTGCTGTTGAGTTTGAGGAAGTTGTGTTGCATCCAGGATTTTATTGCAGTCAGACAGGATTCGATGTGGGGGGGGGGGATTTGGTGCTGAGGTAAATCTGCGTGTCGTCAGCGTAACAGTGAAAGTCCAGGTTGTATTGGCGGAGAATCTGACCAAGGGGGAGGATGTAGATGATGAAGAGGAGGGGGCCGAGTACTGAACCTTGGGGAACACCTTGGATGACTGAAGCTGTGGCAGAGGAGTGGTTGTTGAGGGAGATGGAGTGGAATCTGTCAGAGAGGTAGGACTGGAGCCACCTGAGTGCAGTACCTTCAATACCGATATCCTGGAGTGGGGTTAGCAGGATGGTGTGGCTCACGGTATCGAAGGCTGCACTCAGGTCGAGGAGGATGAGGATGTTGAGGGAACCGGTGTCAGCAGAGGTGAGGAGGCCATTGAGGACTTTGATGAGTGCCGTTTCTGTGCTGTGGTGGGGACGAAAACCAGACTGAAGGGGTTCAAAAAGCTGGTTGGTTTGG